GGGGCATTGAGTCTCTTTACAGTCTTCTGACCTTGGACTTTTCCCGTGGGCAGGATGAGAAGTTTGCACGTGGACACAATGGGCGATGGTCAGTCCAGCAGTCGGCACCTAACATGGCTTTAGTCATTCACGTCCTGCCCGTCTTTCTCCTGGCGATGACATAATCAATCAGGTGCCAATGCCTAGAGCGTAGGTGCATCCATGACGTCTTGTTGTGGGTGGGAAGGTGAAACAGTGTGTTGGAGAAGAAGAGGTCGACGTAGCACACAACGCTAGGAGCAGAAAGTCATTGCTGATGCACTTACCAGTATCATGTCTTCCAATGATCCCTTCCCAGGTATGGTAGTCTTCTGTTCCTACTCTAGCGATGAAGTCACCGAGGATTATTAGCTTCTCTGATTTTGGGACTGCTGCTATGAGGAGGTAGAGTTCATATAATTTTTCTTGATGTCATCTGGGTAGGTCATGGTTGGGCAAATGTACTGATCAGCGTTGCACTTCTCTTGTTGAGCGTCATTAGGTGGTCGTTGGTGCACTCTGGTAGCTTGGCAATTTTTTGGGCTATTTGATCTGATGGCAAATCCAACGGCAGCTTCTCGTCCCTCAGCAATACTTTGACCTCTCCAGAAAAAGGTGTACCCACCACCACGTTCTGTAAGGTGACATTTGTCGGCCAAGCTGTTTCACTGAGCGATATTATGCCCACATTGTAGCGCGCTAGTTCCTCTTCAACTAGTGTAGTTCGCCTTACAGGTATGTCTGCCTTGGTGTCATCCAGCAGAGTTCGAACATTCCAAGAACCGAGATTGATCACCCTCACTTTTGTCTTTGTATTTGTTCGACCTCTGTGAGGCATCCCCGCGAGCCGCGGGTTGCTAGCCAGAGTGAGTTGAAGCTGGCAATGTTTAAAACACCTTAGCTGGCCCCTTCCTCAAGATAGGTAAGCAGAGTGTGTCCTTGTTACGACCCTGGGTTCCTAGTTGGAAACTAGAGGTCAAATTGAGTTCCATATAATCTTGTGAGAATGATAGCTAGTTAACATAATGTTTATACTCGAGGCGTTTCATACCTTGATGCCGTCTTCCTTGCCAGACATAAGATGAACCTTGTTACGCACAGATTATTCAGACTCTGGGCTTGTTGACTATCAAATATAATAATGAACTAAGTATCAGCTATCCTTAGAATTGTTAAAGTAACTACTAACGAAGGCCGGTGGAGACTTATACTGTTTGTGGATGTACGATCACCTAGGTATCACTTCCCGGCGGTATTCTTAAGGGATCGCAGAGGCTGTTCAAGCTCTCTCTGGCTGGCTGTGTGGTGGTGGATCCAACTCTCCTGTGTGGTTCTGTTTCTCCTCCTCCTCTCTTCCTTTACCTTATTCCCTATTTTATAAGATAAGTCCATTTCAAAGTTTGTTCCGTGTTACTGGCTAGGTGTGTGTTTTATTTATAAGTATTGTGTAGTCTAAGCCAGTGTTTTGGGCATCACTAAGTGTACTCCATTGTGACTAGTGTACCACGTGGGGCATAGCTACCCCCAGGCTGCTTCAAGCTTTGCAATTGCCTTTTCCAAGTAGACTTTACCCTAGTTTTTGCAAGTGTAAACCTTGTATCCTGTCTAAGTGGACCAAGGTGGATAACGTAAGGTAGAGTGGTAAAGTGTATTATTGAAGTAATGTATATGGGAGGTTAGTAGAGGGTTTAATAAATAAGTACTAAGAAAAGAGTATCTCTTCTTCCTGTTGAGAGTGGAATAGGGGATCACCTTAGACTAGACAGTTTTACTAGCCTAGCAATTGTTATTTTCTGGGAATATTCTTTCTTTGCGGGGCCGGGGCCTCCCCATTGCCACTATTTTAGGAACTCTTTTATCTTGTACTATTGGCCCACTCAGTTCAACTACATACTCTTCCATAACAGTCCTGAAGAGGGCAGCCCAGACACCCAGGGGGCGGCCCAGACACCCAGGGGGCTGCTCAGACTCCCAGGGGGCTGCCCAGATACCCAGGGGCAGCCCAGACACCCAGGGGGCGGCCCAGACACCCAGGGGGCGGCCCAGACACCCAGGGGGGCGACCCAGACACCCAGGGGGCGACCCAGGGGCAGCCCAGACACCCAGGGGGCTGCTCAGACACCCAGGGAGCGGCCCAGACACCAAGAGGGTGGCCCAGACACCCAGAGGGCTTCCCAGACACTCAGGGGGTGGCCCAGAAACCCAGGGGGGTTGCCCAGACACCCAGGGGGCGGTTCGGACCCCCAGGGGGCGGTCCAGAAACCCAGGGGGATGCTCATACACACAGAGGAGCTGCTCAGACACCCAGGGGGCTGCTCAGACTCCCAGGGGGCTGCCCAGATACCCAGGGGTAGCCCAGACACCCAGGGGGCGGCCCAGACACCCAGGGGGCGGCCCAGACACCCAGGGGGGCGACCCAGACACCCAGGGGGCGACCCAGGGGCAGCCCAGACACCCAGGGGGCTGCTCAGACACCCAGGGAGCGGCCCAGACACCAAGAGGGTGGCCCAGACACCCAGAGGGCTGCCCAGACACTCAGGGGGTGGCCCAGAAACCCAGGGGGGTTGCCCAGACACCCAGGGGGCGGTTCGGACCCCCAGGGGGCGGCCCAGAAACCCAGGGGGATGCTCATACACACAGAGGAGCTGCTCAGACACCCAGGGGCTGTCCAGACACCCAGGGGGCTGCCCACAAACCCAGGGGGCATCCCAGAAACCCAGGGGGCTGCTCAGACACCCAGGGGGGCTGCTCAGACACCCAGGGGGCTGCTCAGACACCCAGGGGGCTGCTCAGACACCCAGGGGGCTGCTCAGACACCCAGGGGGCTGCTCAGACACCCAGGGGGCTGCTCAGACACCCAGGAGGCTGCTCAGACACCCAGGGGGGGGGGGGAGGCTGCCCAGACACCCAGGGGCTACTCAGACACCCAGGGGTTGCTCAGACACCCAGGAGCTGCTTAGACACCCAGGGGCTGCTCAGACACCCTGGGGCTGCCCAGACACCCAGTTGCTGCTCAGACACCCAGGGGCTGCTCAGACACCCAGGGGCTGCTTAGACACCCAGGGGCTGCTCAGACACCCTGGGGCTGCTCAGACACCCAGGGGCTGCCCAGACACCCAGGGGCTGCCCAGACACCCAGGGGCTGCTCAGACACCCAGGGGCTGCTCAGACACCCAGGGGCTACCCAGACACCCAGGGGCTGTTCAGACGCCCAGGGGGCTGCTCAGACGCCCAGGGAGCTGCCCACATACCAAGGGGGGCTGCTCAGACACACAGGGGAGCTGCTCAGACGCCCAGGGGGCTGCTCAGACGCCCAGGGGGCTGCTCAGACGCCCAGGGGAGCTGCTCAGACACACAGGGGAGCTGCTCAGACGCCCAGGGGGCTGCTCAGACGCCCAGGGGAGCTGCTCAGACGCCCAGGGGGGCTGCTCAGACACCCAAGGGGGCTGCTCAAACACACAAGGGAGCTGCTCAGACGCCCTGGGGGGCTGCTCAGACGCCCAGGGGGCTGCTCAGACACACAAGGGAGCTGCTCAGACGCCCTGGGGGGCTGCTGAGACGCCCATGGGGCTGCTCAGACACACAAGGGAGCTGCTCAGGCGCCCTGCGGGGCTGCTGAGACGCCCAGGGAGCTGCTCAGATGCCCAAGGAGCTGCTCAGACGTCCAGGGGGCTGCTCAGACGCCCAGGGAGCTACCGAACTCTGTTGCTGCTTTGGTCCAGTTGTGAGCGACCCTATGCCCTGAGCCGCCTGTGTGCAGGTCGGTGACTATAGCTTCCAGTGTATCCGCACCCACGGCTTCGTCACTTGCCCATTGCCACTGGGCTTGAGGATTGGCGGTATGGGTTGAAGTCATGACTAGTGTTTTATTTAGATTAAGTTGAGGGAGAGTTGCGCAACTCATCAGCTTCACTCTCTCGTCCTGGCTTATCTGGGTCCAGCGGCAGGACCTGTTGAGACGGCACAAGACAGGTTAGGTTGCAGTGGATGGACTGCACTGACCTCGGTTTCTCACTGCGCTCCACAACGCTTTACTGGTCCGCCTTCCTGCCCATTGAACAATTCTGCTGGTATCTTCCAGGCAATCTGCCGGGTTCAGTCTTAACACATGGGTAGGTAGACGCGCTGTAGTTCACAAAGGTTCCCGATCCTTCAGCTACCCTCATTTGGTTTTGCCCGCCAGTCGATGCAGTTTGCCGGAGTGTGGTCGCTGTTGCCTGCAAACAGCTACTAGGAGCCACAGGTGAGAGGTGAGTGATGGTGGGGAACGCAGCAGGCGACTCCACCCGCAGGTTGGCCTGTTCCCTGTCAGATGAACGCTGACACCCCTGACACCCAGCACCAGGGTATGTATCATAGTTCACGTCAGAAGTTAATCACTCCTAAAACAAAAACTGATTCTCACTAAATTCAATGAAAGGGTGTCCTAATGGGAACAATTTTTTAATGGATTTGTCCAATCCGTTAAAATGTAAACTATCCGCAGAATTAAAGCATACGTTTTAAGTTAAATTAAAGCATATTTGGCGTTTTCTTCTTATCAGCCACAATAGGTTTAGCGGGTTGCTTGGGTCCCTCCGTTTCTGTTTTGGTTATATTGTTGAATTGTTAATGGAGTGGCAACCCAAGAGCTACCTGGACATTTATTGACACTGGAGGAGAAGGATAAGGATAAAGTACACTTCTCGTGGTGTGAATGTTTTTCTGACGGATAATAACCCACCCACGGGTGACCCCACATCGGGTGATCCACATGCTAAATATCACATCAAAGTTACAAAAGTATAATGTAAATGCATATCCATGGCCTTAGGAGGCAGAAATAGCCTAAGCTACTCTATCCCTTTGAGATGTACTTCTTTCTTGTCTCAATATACATAATTGAACTTGAATTGAACACGGCCAGAAAGTTGAATTAAGTATCTAAATAACGACTCACAATTTTTTTGTTTATCATTCTCGTTCTCTCCCAAAAGATTATAGAGCTTCATCCATCACTGGGTGGAGGCGGCTGGTGCTGGTAACATGGATGACGGTGGGTCTGGTGTTGAGCAGAAGCTACCAGGGAGACCTCATGTCCGGCCTGGCCGTCAGGTACATCCGGCAGCCCTTCCAGACCATACAAGACGTCCTCGACCATCCTTCCGTAACAATGTTGTGGCAGACAAACTCCACCAACGTTCAGTACTTTCGTGTAAGTATGGTGTTGGTGTGTCTGGTGTTGGTGTTGGTGTGTCTGGTGATGGTGTGTCTGGTGTTGGTGTGTCTGGTGATGGTTGTTGGTGTTGATGTGTCTGGTGTTGGTGTGTCTGGTGTTGGTGTGTCTGGTGTTGATGTGTCTGGTGTTGGTGTGTCTGGTGTTGGAGTGTCTGGTGTTGGCGTGTCTGGTGATGGTTGTTGGTGTGTCTGGTGATGGTGTGTCTGGTGTTGGTGTGTCTGGTGTTGATGTGTCTGGTGTTGGTGTGTCTGGTGATGGTGTGTCTGGTGTTGGTGTGTCTGGTGTTGATGTGTCTGGTGTTGGTGTGTCTGGTGTTGGTGTGTCTGGTGTTGATGTGTCTGGTGTTGGTGTGTCTGGTGTTGGAGTGTCTGGTGTTGATGTGTCTGGTGTTGGTGTGTCTGGTGTTGGTGTGTCTGGTGTTGATGTGTCTGGTGTTGATGTGTCTGGTGTTGGTGTGTCTGGTGTTGGAGTGTCTGGTGTTGGAGTGTCTGGTGTTGGTGTGTCTGGTGTTGATGTGTCTGGTGTTGGTGTGTCTGGTGTTGGAGTGTCTGGTGTTGATGTGTCTGGTGTTGGTGTGTCTGGTGTTGGAGTGTCTGGTGTTGATGTGTCTGGTGTTGGAGTGTCTGGTGTTGGTGTGTCTGGTGTTGATGTGTCTGGTGTTGGTGTGTCTGGTGTTGGAGTGTCTGGTGTTGATGTGTCTGGTGTTGGAGTGTCTGGTGTTGGTGTGTCTGGTGTTGGTGTGTCTGGTGTTGGAGTGTCTGGTGTTGATGTGTCTGGTGTTGGTGTGTCTGGTGTTGGAGTGTCTGGTGTTGGTGTGTCTGGTGTTGGAGTGTCTGGTGTTGGTGTGTCTGGTGTTGGAGTGTCTGGTGTTGATGTGTCCGGTGTTGGTGTGTCTGGTGTTGGAGTGTCTGGTGTTGATGTGTCTGGTGTTGGTGTGTCTGGTGTTGGTGTGTCTGGTGATGGTTGTTGGTGTGTCTGGTGTTGATGTGTCTGGTGTTGGTGTGTCTGGTGTTGCTGTGTCTAGCGATGGTGTGTCTAATGATGGTGTTGGTGTGTCTGGTTATAGTGTTGGTGTGTCTGGTGTTGGTGTGTCTGGTGTTGGTGTGTCTGGTGTTGGTGTGTTTGTTTATGGTGTTTGTGTGTCTGGTGATGGTGTGTCTGGTGATAGTGTGTCTGGTGTTGGTGTGTCTGTTTATGGTGTTTGTGTGTCTGGTGATGGTGTTGGTGTGTCTGGTGATGGTGTTGATGTGTCTGGTTATAGTGATGGTGTGTCTAATGATGGTGAGTCTAATGATGGTGTGTCTGGTGTTGGTGTGTCTGTTTATGGTGTTTGTGTGTCTGGTGTTGGTGTGTCTGTTTATGGTGTTTGTGTGTCTGGTGTTGGTGTGTCTGGTGTTGGTGTGTCTGGTGTTGGTGTGTCTGGTGTTGCGTGTCTGGTGTTGGTGTGTCTAGTGATGGTGTGTCTAATGATGGTGTTGGTGTGTCTGGTTATAGTGTTGGTGTGTCTGGTGTTGGTGTGTCTGGTGTTGGTGTGTCTGTTTATGGTGTTTGTGTGTCTGGTGTTGGTGTGTCTGGTGTTGGTGTGTCTGGTGTTGGTGTGTCTGGTATTGGTGTGTCTGGTGTTGGTGTGTCTGGTGTTGCTGTACCTGGTGTTGGTGTGTCTGGTGTTGGTGTGTCTGGTGTTGCTGTACCTGGTGTTGGTGTGTCTGGTGTTGGTGTGTCTGGTGTTGGTGTGTCTGGTATTGGTGTGTCTGGTGTTGGTGTGTCTGGTGATGGTGTGTCTGATGATGGTGTGTCTGGTGTTGATGTGTCTGGTGTTGGTGTGTCTGGTGATGGTGTGTCTGATGATGGTGTGTCTGGTGATGGTGTGTCTGGTGTTGATGTTTCTGGTGTTGATGTGTCTGGTAATGGTGTTAATATGGCTGGTGTTGGTGTGTCTGGTGTTGGTGTGTCTGGTGTTGGTGTGTCTGGTGATGGTGTGTCTGATGATGGTGTGTCTGGTGATGGTGTGTCTGGTGTTGATGTGTCTGGTGTTGATGTGTCTGGTAATGGTGTTAATATGGCTGGTGTTGGTGTGTCTGGTGTTGGTGTTTGTGTGTCAGGTGTTGGTGTTGGTGTGTCTGGTGTTGGTGTTGGTGTGTCTGGTGTTGGTGTGTCTGGTGTTGCTGTACCTGGTGTTGGTATGTCTGGTGTTGGTGTGTCTGGTGTTGGTGTGTCTGGTGTTGGTGTGTCTGGTGATGGTGTGTCTGATGGTGTGTCTGGTGATGGTGTGTCTGGTGTTGATGTGTCTGGTGTTGATGTGTCTGGTAATGGGGTTAATATGGCTGGTGTTGGTGTGTCTGGTGTTGGTGTTTGTGTGTCAGGTGTTGGTGTTGGTGTGTCTGGTGTTGGTGTGTCTGGTGTTGGTGTTGGTGTACTGGTGTTGGTGTTGGTGTGTCTGTTGTTGGTGTGTCTGGTGATGGTGTTGGTGTGTCTGGTGTTGGTGTGTCTGGTGTTGGTGTGTCTGGTGTTGGTGTGTCTGGTGTTGGTGTTGGTGTGTCTGGTGTTGGTGCGTCTGGTGATGGTGTTGGTGTGTCTGGTGTTGGTGTTGGTGTGCCTGGTGTTGGTGCATCTGGTGTTGGTGTTGGTGTGTCTGGTGTTGGTGTTGGTGTGTCTGGTGTTGGTATGTCTTGTGGGAAAAACCTGCTGGGATTGATATAAGAGGAGACTACCAGGGACTTGTACTGAACTAAGTTAAAAATTTACTGTCTGCAAATTAATTCAATTAAAATCTCTAGCTAGGGTTGTAAACCTTAGCTCCTCTTTTCCTAATGACAGATTGTGGGCTGTAAGGGACAGGTGGGGTGAATGAATTAGTTGATAGAAGTTCCAGTCCACCTGTAAACAGGGATCTCACATCAGCTTGTATTTTATACAAGGATAAGATTTAATAAATTCAGTTATATGACTGAAAACTGGCTCTGTTTAAATCAGGGATTTAAACATACATAGTCTAGCCTAGCACCATAACTATTAACAGCCAATATATTCTTATACTATAAACAACAAATCAATTGTAAAAGTATAATAAATGACTTTAAATGTACTGTTACCAAGTACAAAATTATATTCAATTAAATGAACTTATATGATAACTTAAAAAATAACTAAGCAATCAATTGTTGACTTAATTTATATATTCAAGTATATATGTAATGTATTTATATTCAATTTATTAGAATAAGGTACAGTCAGCTTGACTGAATCTCTTCCAACACCACGGACACTTATGAGGTTTTATTTACTTATTGCAGTTGAATCTTTTCTCACATAATGGACACTCATGAAGTCTAGTGCTTGGATAAGATTCACAGCTACACTATTTTAATAAACTTATTGAGATATGAGGCATTGCCTCACTTTTTAACCGACAGACAGATTTATAGAATATTAAAGTCACACAAGCATACAACTGGCCAATCATATACCAAAATAACCTTCAATATACTTCTCTGCCTGCCTGACAGTGTGCCAGACTGATTAACTTTCTCTTGTTGAGTTTAGGCACGATATTTTATATCACAGCTTTGCTGTATGATGATCTGGTAGCGTTGCTACATGTTTGTCCCTGCAGTTGCAGAAGAATGATAAGTTGATGGTGAAGGTGGAGGCAAGTCACTGTGTGCTCTTCTCTACACTTATAGATATAAATGTTCTAGGGATTTTCCTTGTAAATATTGTCCAAGTACTCCCCCAGTTCTAAAGAGTATTCACTGGTGATAAAGATAACTAGATAAGGTGTCCTAAGCCAAATAATGTTTGCTAAGGATCCGTCACTGTTTTGTCAACAAACGGGTAGTGCCGCGGGGTGTGGTGGGCACTCCTCTCCCAGCCATCATCCCCCCATGATCCCTGAGCACGGTAGCCTTCTATGAATATTGATTGATTATTTTTACAGTCTAGACTTATGATTGAGATAAGATGTGATTATAATATAATTAGATATAGGACATAAAGTTTATAAGTAGTACTTGATAGTACCACCGATTCTTATTAAGGATTCGATTTTATCCCTACCGGATATTGAATCAATGTTCCAATAGTTTATTAATTAACAAATCCTTCTAGAAGCTTCTGGATCCTTGAGAGATCATGCACAAAGTCACATAGGCATCTATAGGGCCCTGTAGCGTACGAGATCATAGTGACATTGTCATCTAGGATCAAGCTATATAATGAATCTATAATGATTCTAATATGATTTTGATACGATTTAGATATGATTTTGATATGATATAGATATGATACAGATATAATATATAAATTATACATTTCTTAGATGATTATTAGATATAGTGGGTAAAAATTTCCCACATCTTCCAGAAGGAGAGAACTGGCACAGAGTCCAATACTAAGGACAATAGTAACCATATGAATTTATTTACTCTCCATTGGATTGATAATACAAGTGCAAATTTTGCTTGCACTTTTGTGCTGCTGTCCGTTGTGGACGATTGTGTCTGTTAGGAGTCTGTGGGCCATGTGGAGTTAGAGTGTCTTGAGGTCTCTCAGGATCTAACTGCATCTGGCTCACTGATTCCATGTGGATGAGTTTGTCCAATGTCTTCAGGGAAGTTGTTCCTTTAGACAGGATTTTGACTATTCTCAAAATCCCCTGGCTATCTGGATGGACTGAGACAACTTTACCTAATGGCCAGTCAGCCCTAGGGCCATCACTGTCTACCAAGACAATATCACCAGGTTGGAGATTAGATATATTATGTGGGACATTGGCCCCATAGTGATGTTCTCGTAGAGATGTAAGATATTCTTTTGTCCAAACATCATTCCATTTTTTGATTATGCTGGACAGATGCTTATACCCCTGAACCAACTCGCTCTGACCCATATATGATAGATCTCTGATCTCATCATCCACTAGAGATGGTACTGGAGTCAGAAGTCTTCCATACATTAGGTGTGCAGGAGTTAATGGC